GACGTGAACTCGCCTCTGCCCGCCGCCTGGTCTGGAATAATCACTCAAATACTTGACAGCGTCGGTAAGACTGGGCGCCGAAGGGATTGAGAGATGAATCCCCAGGCCAAACCTAACAGCTCCTCCGCCGCCCGGAAAATCTCGGCTGGCCAGCGCTCCCAACCGCTGGGCACGAAGAGAATGGGTGGTGACGAGGACGATGGCCTGGCCTTTCTCTCCAGCTGCGTACTCGAAACCAACTCCCAATCCAGCTCACAATGACCGACAACAGCAAGGCGAACAACACAACACAATACCATGCCGCAGTCAAGCACATTGGACCCGCTTAAAACCCTCCAGGCTTCTCAACACAAAAAGGAAAACCTGTAGGCTAAAATTTTGAGACAATTTGGTGCCGCCAAAGTTTCAACAATCATAGACGTGGAGATGCCTACTAAAGATCGAACAAATTGCCGTGCGAGAAAAGCACACAAAGGCAAATACAATTTGGCCCCATATAACGAGAATCACACTACTTCAAAACTAGCTTTCTCCTACCATCCGCACTATTAAGTTGTAACTTACATTTAACTTCATGACTCATTTCATGAAACACAACCAAATTCAAAGGTTTCACATGAATTCTGCCAGACCCTATACATAAGTTATCAGGGCGCAATTTTCATTCTCTCGTGACATACTTTCAAGGCGTAGTCAAGAGCACCTACTTTTAGGACGCCCTGACGCCAATGAAAACTTACTCGCAACAGATCAAACTGCGTCTTATCAATCCTCTAAAGGTATCTAATCTCAAAATTTGGTGATCGCAGTGCTTTCAACTCAAGTGATCATAAGATCCTTATAAACAATCACTAAACAAAACCTTGTGTGCTAACATGCTCATCCGCTGGATGTAGTTTCATGTCAGCCCCTGTTTTTAAAGAACGCACATGACTTTGCTGTGCGCTCTAGCACGACATCATACTATCATCCAAAGAACGCTAGCATACCAACACACACCTAATCATAGGTCATATCGCTCTAACCTATAGCCACCACTCCTTCAAATTTAGCGAGCGTACCCAAAACTTCATTTGCGTCATGCGTGCTCTTATCTTAAAAACTCCTTTCACGCAGTCGGTTGATTGAGGCGGGTAATTGCTTCCGCATACCGCTTAAGAACTTGACTAAAAATTTTCACAAAGCTTACACACAAACAAAATTTAGAGGGAAGAAAAAAAGTATCCAAGCAAACTAGCTGTGGAGATGACACAGGAACACCACTTTAAAACCAAATATAAACAAATATGTTTCCAAAAAAACTCCTGTGTCTGACTCTCCAGCCTACAGCTGTCGCTTCCTCTTCAGTCGTACACGCGGCGGTCGTGGTCTTGCCGGATTTCGAGGGCGCCCGAGTCTACAACGAGCACGTGCTTCCAGCTGAACGGCAGCGTTACGCCTCATTTGCGATTTCGGCCGTCCTCTGTCAATCCGGCGGAGGGAACCCGAGCAATGCAAGGGAAAGAGTGACGGTGTCCTATTTGGTCTAGCCGAGCGGTGTTTAGCTATTGTCGCTTTTCTTGTAGGACCCCTTCGACACTCCCGTCCCCGCAAAGCTCTTAATCTCCGGCGCGCATTCCGTCGCGCGAATGCGCGCTGTGGTTTACCCTTTCGCCGCTGGCGCCTTACTTCCCGCCACAAAAGCCTCTTCGCTGAACTGGCCGATGAGCCACCCTCTTTCCTTTTTCCCCGATGCTTGCTTCCTCCTTTGTGCCTTCGCTTTGTCGCGCGCGTACCCTTCACCTGTCTACGGCGACGCTTGCGACCCGTTTTCCCACAGCTAGGAAGTTCGCCTCGGGTTGCGTCATCGGCTGCTCTACAGCTCGAGGGTTCCTCTGTACCACCTGCTACACTATGTTGCCAGTTCGATTTCCTAGCCCTGGTGCCATGTCGGGCCGATTCATTTGTCTTAACTTTGTACTCACGCACCCAACTAACCTGGCGCCTCCCATTTGATTTCATTTGCGATGGACCCGCTGGTCCCTTTTCTTTCGTCCGGCAGTTCAGACGTATACAAATGAACTTTGTCACTGACGCAAAATGCCTAGTTCTGCTTGCTGCGCTAATAGGCCTCAAACTTTTCTGAACATGCGTAGAGCTGCTTGTCTCACTCGCGACTTTGCGACGTCTCTTGCGTCTGCGCTGCTTCCTGCGACTCGTCTCTGAGCCTACTGCTCGCAGCTCAAGGTGGCTAACACTCTCACTACACTCGTCAGCTGTCGACGCCGCTCCGTCTAGATGATTTTCGAAAAAACCACCTATTTCACACTCTAGATCGGCGGACAGCTTGACGCTCTTAGGAACAGTGCAGCTGCTTTCCTGCAAATACTCTAGCTCGCATTGCTTAGAGCTGTCTGCGACTGCACTGATATCCCCGCTACCTACTTTCGCTGCTTCTGAGCTTTCTTCGGTGTCCTTGCGTACTTCCACACTGTTTGCAAGATCCACCGTTGCGACAAACACAGTTGAGGTCTGTGCCAGATTGTCTACAGCTATCCTTGCTGTTTCACTAACAGCTAACTGGCACAGCACCTCGTCGCACTTGCTCTGGCCTTCGTCGACCTCTCTACTTGGCGCAGCATCATTCGCAGCACTCAAACTAGATTCGCCTTTGAATCTGCTGCTATGTTCACGTGTGCTAGCCTTCTCTTTGGCTCTAAACTGCACCTCACTCATTTGATTATCGCACTTCTCGTGCGCTACAGTTTCGAATGGCTGACTCTTTCGCCTCATTGCCTCGATTTTTTCTTCCGACAGTTCAACCACTAGGCTGAGTGCTCGCTCACGCTCGTCACCTCGCTCCCGTTTTTCTATCTCCCCTTTTCGCTCACTATCCACCTTGGTGCTATAAGAGACACGCGGACCTCTCTCAGGCTTGGTTTTAATACCAGCACAACGTCGCGCGTTCTTCACGGGAGCGTTCGTGAGCTTGTACTCAATTCGCTTTCTGTCAACTCTTATGCCGAAGCACCGCAGTAAAGCTGCCTTAGCTACCTCGTACCTATTGAACTGTTCCTCGGAAAGGTATAGTAACCTACCCATCAATTTGCACGGAAGGACACTCGATAAGGCGAAAGACCAATATTGCTCGTCGAGCTCTAGTTCTCTGCAAACTTTCTCGTAAGAGGTTAGATAACTCTCTAAATCCTCCCCCTCTTCGAATGCGTGGATCCTCGAATTTACTTGAGACGCTCTAAGGAACTGTACTGATCTTTTTCTCTCTTCCTGTTTTAATTTCAGGCTTTCCTCCCACTGCTCTCTCTCTTTCTGTCGTTCCAATCTTTCTTTTTCTTCTCTTTCTTTTCTATCCCTGCTTTCCTTTCGTTTCCGTTCCTCTCGTTCGCGTTCCTCTCGTTTCCGTCCCTCCAACCCTTTTAAAGCTTTTAACGCGTATCCAATATCCACCTCACTGGCGCTTTCCAAAATTAGCTCTAAAATTTCTGACCTGCCCATTCCTTTCTTAATCTTAATACCAAGATCTTCACAAATGTCCAAAAGACCATCTTTTAGCAGTGTCTTCACCTCACTGGCTTTTTGCGAGATCAGCCTCACAATAGCTGTCCTGCCCATTCCTTCCTCTACTTCAATGCCTAGATGCTTACTCACACACAAAAGTTCATCTTTTAGCATTGCCCTCCACGACATGACTGCCGTTGTACTTTGGTCCTGCATCTCACACAAATGTAGGGGATCCCTCTAACACACGAATAGGTGATCTCCCTAACTCACACACAATCCAGCTTCTACTCAATTCACACTCACAAAATGAAGCCTGGAAAGTTAAAGCAAAGACCAAGCACTCACCACAGCCCAGCACCATGTCGTGAAGTCGATCTCACCGCTGCCAACCAGTTGTTAAAGATGACGAAGGAGGAAGTTGCAGGTGATGTCATCCGGATGGAGGAACTAAACTCTGACAAGAGGATACGAGAAACATAACAGAGGTTTATGGGATTATTTACACATATTTACAGAAAAGAAGGGATAGTGGTTTAACAAACCACGAGCGTGGTGGTTGAACACTACATAGTTCAGAGCCAGGTTCAGAGAGCGCAATGTCCAGCACTCTCCGCGTCGTTTTATGCCCTGTCGGGCTCCTCCTCTCAGAGTCGAACACCAATCACGCACACACAGGTGAGGGAGGCGAGCATACAAGGTCCACGTGAACACTGCACGGTGGTGGCGCCAGCAGGGCTGGTCCTCGTCGTGGGTGTGCCGTTAGACGAGCGTTCCCACGATCCTGGCCGCATACTTCAAAGGGCCCACTGCACAGCTCGCCCAATTAGCGGGGCGATCTGCGTGTGCTGTCCGTCGCGGTCTCTTTCAGAAAGACGCCGTCTTTGTTGGCCTCTCTCGAACGGCTAATGGCGTCTTGGCGACACGACGTCTTGGTCCTCCGGCTAGCACGTACAGTGCCTGACGAGCATAGGCAGTCGGCAGGTCGGCTTGGTGATTGGGGATCAAAAGGGAGCACCGCTCCTCTGTCAGCTCCGGCGCCGGCCACGACAGCTTTGCCGTCGCCCGATGAGTCGCCGAGTCCATTAGTCACCGCTTCTGCTTGAAGCGACGACAAAAGGTCCGCTTTTGAAGGACGTGAACTCGCCTCTGCCCGCCGCCTGGTCTGGAATAATCACTCAAATACTTGACAGCGTCGGTAAGACTGGGCGCCGAAGGGATTGAGAGATGAATCCCCAGGCCAAACCTAACAATGTATGTATGTATGTATGCATGCATGCATGCATGCATGTATGTATGTATGTATGTATGTATGTATTTATGTATGTATGTATGTATGTATTTATATATGCTTGCATTTATGTATGTATGTATGTATGTATGTATGTATGTATGTATGTATGTATCAGTGCGTGTACATGTTTAGTTATCGAATAGCAGTATGTCGCATTTTTTTTTCAGTTGTTGGCGCTGAAGTTTTTTATGCTTTCTCTTAATTCACGCAGGGGTGAAAGCGGTGCCGGCAAGACAGTGGCTGCCAAGTACATCATGGCGTACATCGCCCAGGTATCCGGTGGAGGACCAAGAGTACAGGTGAGATTCGTTACCTTCAATAGAACATTCAATTACCGACCGTACAAACAAAAAGTTCCAGAGCTTAGTCACTTGTAATATCGCTTTGGAAAGTATTTCTGTGCTCGAGTGCTATGCAGGATGGCCCGAGCTCCTCGGGCAAGCGCGTTGGCTCCTAGCTCGGAGCTATGGTGGTCGTCACACTGAGACAGGGTGCATCGCGCGGTAGCAGCATTGATAAACACGGCTACAGGAGCGCGCACGGCGTCGCAGACGCGTTCGCAGCAGTTTTCAAACTAACACCGTGTGCGAGTGCGTCACCGTTGCCACTCGATCAAAATTTCAACAGCGTAGCGATGTCAGCATGATTGTCTCGCTACCTCTTTGCCAATAGAACGTCGCCCCTCGCATAGGCGTATCCGTGGGCTGTTATCCTCAGTTGAACAAGCGCTTTCGTTCCACCTGCAGCGTGGAAATTTCTATTGTCGAAGCCAACAAGCACGCACACCCAGCACTTTTGGGCAGTTCATTTTGCTTTTATCGAGTATTACAGATAAAAAATTACACCATCTCTCTCTAAAGGGAGCCATGAGGAGCTTGCGAACCTTGCCTGAGTACCTTGCCCGATGTTAACGCGTCCTTGCAAGTGGAGCACACCACTGCAGTTTCTGTTGCTGTTCCTCGTCCCGAACTCTTTGTTGGAGCACGCCACCCGGTTGGCTACATCGTAAAATAATCTTAGTTCTTCGTATGGGTGTGTGCATGGTCTGCTCGTTTCAGCTTGGAGATGAATGGGGAGACTAGCCTGCGTGGAGGTGGTGCCGTCATGCGCGCCATGTTTCTTGGGTGTCAATGGGGAGCGCCATTTGCAAATTGTAACGTAAAATACCTGGCTCCCGAGATATTCTACTCCTAACTTCGGAGGCCACTGGCCTCCATTTTCAATCTCGGTGATTTCCACTGGAGCCGATATTCGGGCCTGAAAAAGGCCCACTTGGGCGCTCGCTGGTGTGGCGGTGTGAGCACTGCTCCTCTGCAATAGCTAACGTGGTGGGCGGACCTGATGTTCCCCATTGGCCTCTGTCAATCAAACAGGCTGACACGCGAAATCAGGTATGCGAAATCTTAGATGCTGAGAAGCCCCCAGTTTAACACATGACGGTAATAGTGCTGGTGTTTCTACCAAACATTTCATGAGGCGGACGCTAAGCAGGAGCTTCCTTGCAACAAAATAACTTAGTCAGCTTGCCCTATTTTTGCAATGCTGGAGCCATCAGCGGAGCTTGTGATCACCTAGCATCTTTCAGCTTTTCACGTGGCTCAACATCTACTCAGTCTGCTCTGTTTGCTTCGCAGGGAACACCGCGTCAACTCGTCCGCAGTCTGAAGGGTATTGATTAGTTAGGTTTTAATTAGTCAAATCCAACTTATCACAATGATTTGCCGTCATTTTATTAATTGGTTTATGTTTATTTACAGGACATCAGAAAACTATGAATTAGCGAAACCTTAGTCTGAATCAGATTAATGAGTGTTATCTGAATCAGCACGCTTCTAATTAATACGCTTTTATGAAATGAAGTCCTGGTTAGTGCGTCCTGATGCGCACGTCCCCACTTCCTAATTAATCATTCTTGTGTTAGTGTGTTTATAATTCGAATCATGTTTACACGCATGAGCTTAATCGGCGCGATCCCAGCTTGATAATTGATTAATATGTGGGGTTTAACGTCCCAAAACCACCATATGATTATGAGAGATGCGGCGATCTTACCTTGCATGGCATCATTTCTTCATGGCATGGTCTTAGTAAGATGTTGCCTAATTACCTAAGTTTTAGCATGGCTGTCCTCACCTAATTAGCTAGATATACCGCCTAGCTAATTATATACTGCCTGGATAATTAGCTGATCAACACAATTAACGTGCTCGGGGACCAGTAGACGATGAAGAAGACAAATCTGGTGCGCCCAGGCCAATCAGTGCGCTGGAAGGTACAGACCGACTATATTGAGCGCACGTGGTCTCCGAGATTAGTTCCGCCGCTCTGTTGACAGAGCTCAGTCGGGCCTAATCTCAGGGTCATGGAATTCTTCATTCTGATGGATACCTATTGCAGGCATTGAATGCTTGAAAATGCCCATGCCACTAAAAATGTCGCTAGTAACTTTCCTTGTGTGGGTGCACTTTTGCGCTCAGTGGAGAGTGTCTGAAGTTTGAAGACGCTGCCCAGCTTTGTCAACTGCCCATGACGTGACGCCGCGTTCCATCGTAACCAATGGAACGTAGCGGTGCGCCGATGGATGTATTTGTCATTTTCATACTGTAAGCTTGTACAAAAAGGGCCTGTCGCGAGAGCTCGGAAAAATTACGAGTTCCACCAAACTCTGGCCATCCTGCATAACACTGTTGGATAGTGAATCTAACTAGCATTTTCAAACAAGCGGGCTCACGATATTTAGTTGATTTTTACTTGTTTTCTCTGGGTGACTAATAAAGTAATCGAGGCACTGTAATAGAGGATCAAGTGAACTACATGGTGCGGGTGTTTGTCCTTTCAATGTGAAGGTTACTTAAAATGTCACCTTCTTTTTGAAACTTTTTTGTTGCTGTACCAATTCAATAAATCCAACTGATAACAACGTAAACAGCTCATAAAAATTGGTGCTTTGCAAAAAGACACATCTGTGAAATGTCATCTTTTTTTTTTTTTGGAAACGGTCGTAATCACTGTCGTTTACAGCGACAGGTTTCGCTTCGTTAATCAAAGTTCGCTGCTGATCGTTGAGGTGCGTATAAGAACGTATGGTACGTTTACATTGTGTGCATTGTAAAACATGACCTGTTTTTTTTTAACACGTTCATCCGTATTCAACCGTATATCTCATTACATGCACTGTATTTGCAGCACGTCAAAGACGTCATCTTAGAATCCAACACCATTTTGGAGGCCTTCGGCAACGCCAAGACCGTCAGGAACAACAACTCTTCACGCTTTGTGAGTATTACACAGGAGAACGAAGATCTAGAATAAATGGCTAGGCATATAAGTCTTCCAAAGCATATAATTAGAACTAAACAAAGAAAAACTTGTTAAAAAATTCCCCTTTTTTCGTTCTTTCAAGCCTCACGTCATTGTTCTTGCCTTCTGCGGTGACAGCGCAGGTGTCGAGTAGGAGGGTTGTCCTCTGCAAGCCGTCAAGCTCAGTAATATAATCCTTACAATGCTCTAAAGGGTTAATTTTCTTCTTTATCTCTTCAGAAGGCGAAGCCAGCCAGAGTAGCAGACGTCGTTCTTTCTACGTCAGCGTGACGCAGGTTATAGTGTCGTTAAAATTTCTGCTTACCCACCCGTTACCCGCTGCTAAGCTGCGGCGAATACTGTAAGTGCCCCGCGCAGGTTTCTAGATCCCCAATAATCGATTTGGTTGGAACCATTGTCACTCGGGCGCGCCAGGAAGCAGCTTCGATCGCTCGTGAAGGCATTTTCACTGCAAGTCTGAATGTTATTGTTCTTTTCTCCTTATATTATTTTTCTCTCTCTTTCACAAACACACGCACACTTTCTTTATGCGTAGGCTACCTTTACGTACGCAGAGAAAGCCTAAATTGTGCGAAAGAACAGCCATTCGCTACAACACTAACGAAAATCAACGGCAAAAGCAAAATATATACGGAAGCCTGAATGAAAGAAAACTGTGATAATGCTTGAGAGCGGTAAGCGTCGTGGATGTTCCAGAGTCCGCATCTCGAAAGAAAGGAAAAAGGGGAGAAAAAGAGCAAAGGATTGTTTTAGCTGACTGGCTTTCGCTCTGTAATAAATACATGCCCTGCAGCAAACGAAGGGCCGTGGCAACATCAAAATGAAGCGAGCGTACGCTGGTGCGCCCTGCGGTCAACGTATGGGCTTCTCGCTACGAAGCGAGAGAGCATGTCGAAAGCGCGCGTGCATAGTGAAGCGAGCGGAACCACCTACTGGAAGGAAAATAAATCTCGCGCGCTCAAACATACCTTTTGCGCGAATGTCTGTACGCGAAAAAAAAAAAAGAAAGGAATGCGAAAGCATCTCACACGAGGGTAATCTAATAGCCATCCTCGGTGTTAAGCAAAGGAGGAGTTTTCTCGATCCTCGCCACTCTTCTTTGTCTTGGTGGCGCGCTCTTGAGAGAAAGGGCATTTCTTTATGCACCGGTAATAATGATGCGTCACGAATTACCATATCTCTCGGCTTCTTTTGTTCCTATAACACATATTGCGTGGCAGATATCTGATTAGTATACGCGCCCCCTTCCACACTTTCATCGCTTGCGCGCGTATTGCTCGCTTCTGCCGCTGCCCACTTGGTCTGTTGCCGGTGCCGCCTCCCTGATTGCGAGATATATGACTGCCGACGATACTCCTCTTCGCTCGGCCTGATCCCTTATAGCCCTTATTCTTTGCCTGGTTCCGGGATATTGATCAAACTGCGCCACTCTTCTAATCATCGCCACGCGGTGGCGTTTATGTCGGCCTCGTGGTGGAGTGGAAAAAAAAAATTAGGCATACTATATTTATTTCCCTAACCTTGGCAACACTTTTGCTCTTTTTCTCTCGTCTTTCTTTTTCTCTCGTCTTTCTTTTCTCTTTCTTTCTTTATTTTTTGTTTTTATGCAATAGTTGTCATAGTCATTCTTCTCATTTTCTGTTAACATTGTAGCTTATGTGAGACGCGTCTGAGTTCGAGAGACAGTTACGGGGATGCTCTTTAATAGTATAATATTGCTTGTGGTTTAACGTCCCAAAATCACACACTCTTGAACGAATGCTGAGAAGCTTTGCACGGTGGCTGTACCGATCGTGTTACTCCCGATATAATATGATGAATATTTTAATGGCATGTGGGGCGTAGGTTGTGCAGACGCAGAAAGTGCACTGAACTCACCAAAATACTCAACACAAGAGCTAATTGAAGTAATTAAATTATCACGTTCGTAGCGATCTACACATCACAGTAATACGAGTTACGAGTCATTCGTACAGCCCTGTCACTTCACTATACTTCGCTTTCTCGGTACTTATAATCTTATCATATTGTTCGCCACCACGTGTACTTCGTATAGCAGCCGTTCGGTGTCGCAGTTCCACGCGTTGCGCAATCTTTTCCCGCTTCCTACGATAATAAGAAAAGCCGGCGTTGTATTTCAACAATAGCCTGTATTCCAGTTTCGCGTTTTCTACACGTCTTGACGTCCCGGAGGCCTCTTATAAGTTCTTGCTGCTTCCTTCATTCTCACTTCCTACCTGCATGCGCGATCCGTCGCTCACGCCTCCGTGACGCTCGGCTTGCTTCTTTCACGTTTCGGGATACCAGAGTGAAAGGTTGGCTTCCAGGGCGTTCTTCTTGCCATATATATGCCGCCCTAAGCTGTATCGTATAATATAAACCGTCCGGGAAAACTGGATGATCGGGAAGAGGCGAAATGTACTACGTCCGTTTTGGGGATGAAGGAAGAATATGTGGCACAGAAGCGTATGTCTTGCCCTTATTTTGTCTTTTTCTTCTCGTCTATTCATAAAAAAAAGGGGGGGGGGGACTTTTCGTTTGTTTCTTTCGTCCTCATACTGTTTCGTTTGGCCGGTTGCGGAAACTCGCGCTTCATGGGGCGATGCGATGAGGTCCATTCATGCATAGCATTCCCTTAACGTGCGACCGGCCGTCCCGGTTCGCCCCTGTTTCATTCGTTCTGAGAGCTTCCATAACCGTCATTTACCTCTCAAAGCTGGCTGCGTTTTTTATTCATTTTTTTTTCCTTTATTCCGCGGAATTTCAACCTCAAGACCGCTTCGCGCTCGTTCTTTCTCGTACGTCATCATTCGTTGTTGCGTTTTACCTCTCTAGCTGGTTTGACGCGCCATTCAAAAAAGAAGCACCGCCTCCACCTCTAGAGTGTGATATCTCGGAAAGTTCCATTCTGGCCTGGTCAGTTTTTGGAGGTCGTCTGCTGTGGAAAAACAAGAAGGAGTGTACGAGGGCGGGGATGTACATTGAGAAAGGAAAGCGGTGTGATGGCTGGACCTTTCCTACATTTGCCGGGAAGCGTATGGATGAAGCAGAAAACGTATAGAAGAATGAATACAGGCAGGATGGAAAGGAAAGACGGGGATGGAAACAAGTCACCTTAATAGCGACCTAAGGTAGAAGGAAAGATAGATATGTGGGGTTTATTGTACCGAAACCACCAGATAGAAGGAAAGAAAGGAAGAACGAGAAACGCGGACCAGAAGAGGAGATTGCGAAAGCGGTGACGTGACCTCTGTCGCGGGGCGACGGGCTTCGTCTACCCGCGTTTCTTCCCAAACCGCTTCAGTCGAGAAACAAACACAACGTGCGGGGACGTTCTGGTAAAGCGCGCGCGACGTGTGCGTCTCAAGCAATGAGCACCTCGGACTGCACCTGGTCGTTTGAGCGGTATTCCTGGCTATACCGCAAGGGTTACCTGTCCGGTTAAATTGCACAAGCGTCGCTTCTCCCTGACCCATTTCAGCGGCCCGCCTTTTCCATACTTTCGTGCGTGGCTGTCATTTAACCCTGACGAGAACCCCCGAGATCCGCTGTTGCCAAAAGTGCCGTTTTTCTACTGTCAGCTCTCGCTTCACCATCTTTCTTTCTTTCTTTCTTTCTTTCTTTCACTCTTGCATTCTTTCTTTCTTTTCTTTCTTTTCTTTCTTTCTTTCTTTCCTTTTCTTTCTTTCTTTCTTTCCTTTTCTTTCTTTCTTTCACTCTGTCTTTCTTTCCTTTTTTCTTTCTTTCTTTCTTTCTTATTGCATTGTGCTTCACTGTTGTTTGCCAACATCTCGAGCTCATTACACAAAAAAAAAGAAACAAAGAAAGCTCTGCACCTTCAAAGTAACGCCGCCTTCGTTTAGAGTGTCTTCATTCCTCAATGTGGCCGAAATAACGCCATTTGTAGGAGCACTCGCCACTTCTGTGGTTTTGCGTACCCACCATTACAAAGAAAGAGAGATTGCGCCACTTAAAGGATGGTCGCAACACCCCTCTGCGCTGTTTCAACTCACTGTATTTCAACGTGCGGACCTTTCAACTTGCACGAAATACCTATTATTAGGTTTGTGCTGGCATCTTCCGAATGCTTCGTAAATCCTTCTCACGCCAGCAATGCAAATTACACGCGTCTTTTGCAGTGGAACGATAAGCCCGTCTGAAGCCTAACTAAAACTCTTGTGTGTATCTATCGCATAGCAACGCTAACAGCGCTAAATTTAGTGTACTGGGTACGTAGTCAATGAAGTTAATGTATGTAGCCATGATGCTTACTCGGATGATGCGGGTCAAGGCCGACGGGACATTCTCGAATATCGACTTGCATGGCGTGCAGTGTGCACAGTGTCCATCAGCGGAACCCTTTAAGTACGCGCAGCTCCCATCCCATATACCTCGATGATATCGTTCGCGGATGTTGTGACGTCACGCTAGGACGTAAGAAGACTGAGACCAGCGGCTTGCCTGCTTCCATCCATCACTCGATATGCGACGCTTTCGCGACAAGGACGCGGTCCGCATTGATCGCCCTTCTTTTCCGGGTGGCCACAACACGGGCACGACGCACAGTGAAAGAAAGCCCTGTGTGTGTGCTTTCGACGACGCAAAGCTTTCTATTGTGACCGTGGCACGCCAGCTTTCTTCGTCGCTTCCTTTTACGTGATTGGCGCGTGTGGCCCTCGCTGGCGGAATGTTTCTACGCTTCCGGTATATACTATTCTGGTATGGCACCGACTCTAAATAGAAATGTCCCATAAAAAAAAATGCTTTCAGCTTCATTCAGCCATGCGACCACAATCGACCCGCTTATGAGTGGCGGAACTGCATTCGCCTGCTGCGTATTGTTTACTGCGCTGAGGAATACAACGTGGGCCCCATGGTAACGACGACGTTTATTTTGCCCGTGGCGTTCTTTTTATACGCAAGACATTGTGACATGTTTATAAAGCATGCTTATG